AGACCCAACAACTTTGCATGAAAGAACCATGAACTGAAGGACATTCGCATCCATAATGCTATTGTTACCGGAAAAAAAAATAGAATCCATAATGCTAAAACGAAATCAGAAAAAACTGATGAGAGGTGACGAACAGTCTTGTTCGTACCTAATTTTCTGGAGCTGTGGTGATTGGATTAACCTTAACTTTACTATGTTACAGTAATCGACCAGACGAACAACTTTCGCGAAGGACACTTTCCGATTTGAGCTACAGAAACTAAAGTTTTGGGGTTCTGACCAGATATGACGAGTTTTTGGCTGTTTTATAACAAAAAAGACGAAACGAAGAACGAGATCAACATACCATAAGACCAAAGGGTTGTGTCGGCATTCCAAAGTAGGAGCTGTCCGCATTTCAAAGTAGGAGCTCTCGGCATACTAAAAACAAAGATAAGGATGTCTCAGGCTAAGACTCCTAGTCATGACTCAGGATATGGAATGAGAAGAATTTGTCTGGAAGAAGACAAAAAAAGAGAGTTGTCTCGTTGCTGTTGGGAAGAATTTGGTAAATAGATTGAAATATAATTGGGCTGGTCCCTATTGATCTTACTTGCTGGCCTAAAAATATGAGCAAAAGCGTAGAATTGTTGTAAAATATAGTGTGATGCCACCATATGACTGTATGAGGAAACACTTCGGTGACAACAATTGAATTTCAAGTGAAAAAAATTTAGGGTAGTGAAAAGTTTTCTTCATGCATGAACGTGTTGTCGAATAAAAAATTATATATATAAAGGTATGTTTGTATCCTCAGAACAACACACCAGATCAAAAATTGAAGTGATACATTACACCCATTTCACTTCGATTTCTAGCAAAGGTTCTCTTTCACTTTTACCTATTTATCACAAGAATTGGGTTGAACTTATTTGATCCAAGTCCCTTTTGTAAATATAAGAAAATAACTAAAATAATTCATAAGTCACAATGTAAATAAAGATGCAGCTCAATGAAATTAATCTAACCACCACGGGGTGGCCCATGGTTGGGGATGAATTTTAAGTCTGTATTATACGTGGCACGTCCTGGGCTTGATTCCTACATCGGTGAATCACTTGATGGTGCTCAAAGGAAAGCTGAAATGACTATGTGAGTCTTCCCACCCCCGAAAGGGTGGATTGTCGTGGCAAAGCCACCAACTGGTTCCTTTTTTAATTTTAATTACAAGTCTTCACAATTACAAAGTGTGCCTCACAAAAAATATATGAGAAATGATAACACAAATATACTTTGTTGTCTCTTTATACACATCTACTCATGTTTAACACAAAATTATATGAGAAATGATGACACAAATGTAAGAGGATAAAAAGAACGTGTGATAATCAGCTCCTCCCTATATACTAATGTATATGAATGATGAGTAAAATATTTGAGCTTGATATTTGTCATGGCTGAAGTATGAATGGAATGATGAAGTGCAATTGACTGGTTAGACACTTAGACTACTTGGCAAACTTTAAGAGGAACTTTCCTCTTCCACGCCGAAAGTAGCAAGACATGCCCCATGAGTCAAGTTTTAAGCAATATAATATGCATGTTATAGTCTTCGCAAGTGGTTTGTGTTGTTTGTGGTTTTTGTGGAACAAGACACTAATGAAAGAGAGACAAATCCAAGCAAATAAAAGTAAAGTTACAAAATTTCAAGCAAAACCCAATTTGATCAAATGACGCATTTAAAAAGAGAATATTAACCTTTTGTTGTTCACTTGTGTGTTGTAGGATTTTCAATTTTTTTAAGTACCCAAAGATACGTAATGCAGATAAATATTTGATAACTAAATTTGATTTATTGATTTAAATTGAATGACCGAAGAAATTTAACATGTCGACATAAAATAACTATAAAGGTACTCACGAAAAATGGGTAGAATTCCAAATCAATTGTGTGAATTGGGATTCCAACTGCTGAAACAAGCAATGCCTAAATTGGTTTCTTATCAGAAAACCCTAGTTCCAATTGAAAAGTAACAACCATGAATTTCTCATGCATTTTTGTCCATTTTCCCCTTTTTCTTTCTTTCTTCGACCATCTCCAACAATGGGCTAAATGCCAAATTTCCCCCCAAATTCCCCCCCCCCCCAAACCATCTCCAACCCATGCTAAAACATTGGGCTAAATGCCAAATGTTAAAGTTGGGCCAAATACCCCCCAGATTCCCCCACCCCGCCCCCCCCCCGCGCGACTGGACTCGCTGGCCCAAAGGCCAATCTCGGCCCGCTCACTCGCGAACGCGTCCCACGCGGAGCGCTTGCAGTCCGTGTCCGACAGGGTGGGCCCCGCTGTCAGCGGGTTGTCGGCCACCCAGATGAACTCCAACGGCTATTTTTGCAATCCAACGGTTGCGTTTCAAGGACCGTTGGCTGATCCAACGGTCCAGATTCAAATTTGATTTTTTAAATTTTAAAATACATTGAATCCAACGGCTGAGATCAAATATAATCAAATCTAACGGTAAAAAAAAAGATCTAACGGCCCAAATTTAAATCTAACGGTTAAAATAATTAAAGAAAATTATTTAACTCAAAATTCACCCAAAAACTCTATAAATACCTATGTATTTGTTTAAACATCCACACAAAACCCAAATTTCTCTTACAAGGTGATAGACCTTGTCGGCCTGTGGCATCTACCCTCCGTTCAAAGTAGTGGTCATGATTGACAACTGCATTCAAGATGCTTTCAAAAAGCTCTCTCCTCATCCGAAACCGCCTCCGAAAATCATGAGCAGGAAATCTCAGACGCTCGATGAAATAATCTTTCATCATTCGATCATGACACTCTTCTCTATCACGCTGCACATATGAACACCCCGTGACAGAACCACGATGGCTAGATTCGCCATCGTGCTCAGATTGCATAAACGAGTTGATAAGTTCAACTTCAGCATTGAACAATTCTGCATCCTTAATCTCCATCCTTGCTTGGTATTGTGCCATCTGCATTGCCATACCCATTGATGAGATATTGAGGATTTTTAGGAAACAAAAACTCTTTGAAAGTTGAAATATTGGTGAATATAGAGGATGATTGAAGGTTGAAAGGTTGTGTGATCAACAAATATTGGACATATGTTTATATAGAGGATGATTTCTGAAAGTTTGGTGGTGAATGGTTGGTGAAAGTTGAAAGTTTGGTGTTGAACAGTTGGTGAAAATTGAAAGTTTGGTGTTCAACGGTTGGTGAATTGAAAATTTGGTGAATTGAAAGTTAGCCCAGGGTTGAAAGATTGGTAAAAGTTGACGGCTTGCTTTGTGGGAAATTTAGTGATTTTTCAATATTTATCGGAATTTAAATTTTTTTAGATTCAAATGTTTATAAAATTAATTTACGACAATCTACATATTTATTTATTTTTTTAATTTAATTTAAGAAAAAAAATAGCCTAAGTTCATTCTTTAATAATCCCGGGCTAAAATTTTAGGCCAAAATGGTTGGAGTAGAAAAGTTGTTTTTGGGCTAATAGCTAAATTTTCCGGGCTAAAATATTTGGCTTTTAGCCCGACCATTGGAGATGGTCTTACTGTGGAAAAAAGTGTAGTGCCATCGTCTTTTTACCCTTGACCAAAGCCAACCCTGGGCTAAATGCTATTTTTTAGGTTTTATTCCCCCTCTCTCCCCCAAAAAAACCCAACTCATGTTAAATGTGTGAGCTAAAAGTTAAAAGCCAAACAAAAGTCAAATTCCCCCCAGGATATAGCCTAGAAAATGGTGTGGGCACCACCAGCGGGACCCACCCCATATGGGTATGTCTCTCAGGATTTATTCAATCCAACAGCTGAGATCGATTATAATCAAATCTAACAGTAAAAAAAATCTAACGGCCCAAATTTAAATCCAATGGCTAAAATAATTTTAAAAAATTATTTAACTAAAAATTCACCCAAATTTAGTGATTTTTTAATATTTATCGGAATTTAAATATTTTTAGGTTAAAATGTTCATAAAATTAAAGAGTAAACTGCCGATATGCCCCTTGAACTATCACCTAACTTTCGATTTCCCCCCTAAACTTTTTAATTGGAAAATTAAGGATTTAAACTAATTTTTTTGGCCGATTTACCCCCTGCTGTTAATTGTTCATTCATTCCATCCAAATTTTTGTTAAATGGAAGCAAGTGCATAACAAGTGTGGGTAGTTCGGTCGCTTCATTCTTTAAAATAATTGAAAACCTTAGATTTCTAAAATATAAACTTATGCAAATATGTGTGATTCTATAGCTTTTGTGTCTAAACGTCTAGTGAAGTGACGCTTTTATCCACAAAGGAGAGTTACGTGGTGTGCACATGATCAGACTTAAATTTAATTTGGATGAAATCTATGAAAAACTAACGGTAGGGGGGAAATCGGCTAAAAAAATTAGTTTAAGTCCTTAAGTTTCCAATTAAAAAGTTCAGGGAGGAAATGGAAAGTTCAGTGATAGTTCAGGGCCAAATTGGTCATTTAGACTAAAATTAAATTATAATAGTGTACAAAAAAAATTTAAAAATTACTTTAAAAAAAAAATTAGCCTAAATTTATTATTTAATAATCTTAGCCTAAAAAATTTAAGCCAGAAGGGTTTAAACAGAAAAACTATTTTTGGGCTAAAACTAAATTTTCTGAGTTAAAAATTTTAGATTTTAGCTCAAGAATTAGAGATGGTCTTAGCGTATCCGTGCAACCAGTTATGCTTGGACACTAGTTGTATGGGAGAATTCTTTATGAGAGATGACATCGTTGCTTGCTCCCGAAGCTTTCGGAATTCAGCTTTTCTAGTGTTTGAATTATAATAATTGAACAACTAACGATGAAACCCAAAAGAGAGAGAAAAAGGACGAAAAAGGACGAAAAAGAAATAAAAAGAGAAAGAAAGAAAGAAAGAAGAAAGCATGGGATAATGGGGCCTCTCTCTCTCTCTCTTTTGGCTGTATTGTTGTAGGATTCCACTCACGCAAACGCAGATGCATCCACACGTTTACATGTCTATTCACTACCGAAATTCCAAACAAAGAAAAGAAACCCTTGTTATTTATGATCTACTTCACTCCTCTCCTCTCAACACTTCACAAAAACTTGAAAGACAACACAAACTCTAAAATTCTTCTGGATCCAAAGCTTTTAACCATGAACATGTTCTCCTCCAAAGAAATGCCCTCTCCGTCGTCGCTGTTCTCTGCCTACGCCTCCATGGCGGCCTCGATGATGCTATTTCGGTCCATGGCCAACGAGCTCATTCCTCATCCGGTTAGGGGCTACCTTTTATCTACCATCAGATACATTTTCAAGACTCATTCCCCTCAACTCACCCTAGTCATAGAGGAATCGAATGGAATATCGCGCAACCAAGTCTATGAAGCTGCAGAGATTTATTTGTGCACAAGGATCAGCTCCAACACCGAGAGGATCAGAGTTAGCAAGAGCCCCAAGGAGAAGAACTTGACAATCCGACTCGAGAAAGGCGAGAAGTTGGTCGATTTCTATGAAGGGATTCAACTCAAATGGAGGTTTGTTTGTGCAGAGTCACAACAGGGGAACCGTAATGATCCATTTTCTCCTCCGAGGTCCGAAAAGCGCTACTTTGAGCTAACATTCCACAAGCAGTACAGAGAGAAAGTTTTGGATTGTTATGTGCCTTATGTTCTTGAAAGGGCCAATGCAATGAATGTTGAAGAAAGGGCTTTGAAGATGTACACACTGAATTCAAACCATTGCATCAAATGGGAATCCATCAATCTCGAACACCCTGCAACATTTGAGACTCTGGCCATGGACCAAAATCTCAAGAATGCGGTTATCGATGATCTTAACAGGTTTGTCAGGAGGAAGGAGTTCTACAAGAAAGTAGGAAGGGCGTGGAAACGAGGGTACTTGCTGTATGGTCCTCCGGGCACTGGAAAATCGAGCTTGATCGCAGCCATGGCTAATTATCTCAAGTTTGATGTCTACGACTTGCAGCTCACTAACATATTTCGGGAGTCGGACCTGAGAACCGTGCTGCTGGGCACCGCGAACAGGTCAATTCTTGTGATTGAAGACATCGATTGTAGCGTTGATTTTCCCGATCGTCAACATACAGATGGAAGAAGGCAGCATGATGCACAGGTTTGCCATCCTAGTGCTTTGCTTTCTTATATAAAATTGTTGAGTTTGATGCTTTGAATTGATCTTTGTGATTTGGTAAATCTTGATTTGGGTTAATTAGCATTTGATTGGTTATTTAGCATGTAACTAACAACTAGCTTAGCACTACATTTCAACCTCAAAACCTAAATGGTAGACACTTTCACAATCAACCAACCCTACCTCACTCTTAGTTTTTGAATCAAAGGGGGGAAAAGCACCAGCACCCACATAGTTAGGTAGGAAGTTGCTCTTTTTTATATTTCCCTTCACGACTCTTTTTATCCCATTGGATTGGAAGGAAAATCGATTGGTTTTTTGTATTCTACGTTGCACCGGTGAATGTACTCGTACAATCCTTTCTTTTTTTCTCCGGCTTTAACCCTGGAAAACGCACTCCTCAGTACAAGAAGTTTAGCTAACACATCTTTGGCTTCCTGCAGTTAACACTCTCTGGACTACTAAACTTCATAGATGGCTTATGGTCTAGCTGTGGAGACGAGAGGATCATAATTTTTACCACTAACCACAAAGAAAGGCTAGACCCTGCGCTTTTACGCCCAGGCCGCATGGACATGCACATTCATATGTCCTACTGCACATTCCACGGATTCAAACTCTTGGCCTCGAACTACTTAGGCATCTATAACCATCACCACCTCTTCGGAGAAATCGAAGACTTGCTCAAGGAAACGGAGGTAACTCCAGCGCACGTTGCAGAAGAGCTGATGAACGAAGATGTTGATACTGCACTCGAAGGGCTTGTCAAGCTTTTAAAGAGGAAGAAATTGGAAGGCGATGAATGTGAGGCGGAGGCTGAGAAGAAGCCTTCAGCAAAGAGGCAGAAATTGGGAAGCAACACAAGAAATCTGTGAGGAATAACAGAAGTATCGCCACAAACAGAAGCAGCAACCGTTTGTCCGCTAAAAAACCCATTTTCTATTAGACCAATCATCTGTTTAGAACGAGATTATCTCTAATCCTATTACGAAGAGACTGCTGCTAGATTTTGGGGCTCAGTTTCACTACTAGCGTAACATAAATGAGTGCGGTCATGTAAATATTAATGGATAATATTTTCTTTAAGCTCTGTTTTTATGCTGTTGTGAAAAAAGCAGAAGGAGCACGTCTGTGATGCCAAACTCAGCTCATTTCTTCATGCTGCTAAAACAACATAACCATAATCAAAGCAAAAACAGGTATTAGCAGACGAGTGGATTGCTCGTAAGCCGACGATTGGAGTACTCTTTGGCTGTCACCGGGAACAAGTTCAAAACTAAACTCTTGCTTTCAAGAATAATTTACTACCTCCCTGAAGAAATTCAAAACAGGACAATCTTACAGAACATCAACATCCATATTACATGCTACAGGGTTTCTAAACTATTCAAACATGAGTTAGCCTATCTGATGGTGGTAACGAAATCACTAAACTCGCCTCCCCTTGTATACGTCGTCACCTCTTTAATAAGTGTGCATCCCACTCTACACATCAAGTTGAGATATCACCACGATACAGAATCTGCCACTCTAGGTAGAGAAGGGGGGGTTCTTTTCCCATATTTCGGATATCCAAACGAGATTGGGCTATTTCTCCATACAAATGGAATTTCCGGGAGATCTAGGATACGCTGCTACCTCGGCATGGATGACAAAGATAAACCCTGTAATGAAGAGCAGGAAGGTGGAAGCATATCATTTCTTGCAGAAAGAGTCTCGATTAGTTCTCTATTTGATGTGTCAGCATAAATACTTCATCAACGACGTCCTTTGTTACTGAATCTTCTAGCATCCTACATACCATTATCTTATAAAATTAGAGGACAAAAATTGAGGACAATGTGCAGAGAGTATACATAGAAATTAATCAGAACTAGACAAACCTCTATCGCATAGCAGACCGAAATGCACAATATCGAAAACTTACTTAGCAAGGAGAAAAATGCATTCCTCTTTGTGCTAAGGCCTAGACTAGCATCATTTTTCAAGATGAGCTATGAATAATTTGCACATTTATCTAAACACAAAAAGAGCTGAAATGATAAACTAACCTTGCTTGAGATTCCTCCCTGCTGCTGCGCTGTGAAAATAGCACCTTGATGACAGGATGCAGATCTATCTTGGGTACTGGTTCTTTATTGCCCTCTCTGGCCAAACAATGACCGGTGCCAGACCAAGAATTTGTATTCATGAGAACAATTTGCACCATGGGAGATCTGCTTTTTAGGTCACTAACCACGGTCCTAAAAGATAATTCGTCTTTTGCACACTCCAGTAGTTGATTTGCGAACATACTTTCCAGTGTATACTTCCTGTTTATGAAATAAAACTTTTGAAAATTGAACTTCTCCATGACACTCAAACAAACTTCAATACTGTAAAGTGAAAAGGAGATGACCACTGAAAACTAAAAGGTGGACAAAAGACACAAGTGAGTGATATGAGTACCCACGGGGGGAGGGGGAAGAGAGATATATATTCATTGTAGTTCACTATATGCTAACCTGAATATGTCCGCTGGCTCACCAACTGGCAGGCCAGTGGAAACATTACATTTAAACAATCGAACTCCACCATCTACAAGTGCACTGCCATTATCACAAGGGTAAGCTCCGAGAAGTGATGAACATTGAGGGCAGAAAAATTCAACCCACTCAACATCTATAGATAGATTGGAGGACCTAACCATAAAAATGTTTTCAAGATACCCATTTAGGAAAGATTCATGGTTTTTCAAGATCTCCATACTTTTAGTAGGTTTTTGGTCCTCTAAAGAAATTTCAGAAAAACGAAGTCTGCAGCTGTCACCATCATAATTTTGAACATGACTTCCCATATGATTACAGCATCCTGGTGCAGATGCATTTTTTATAGAGCAAACTGATCCTGAGCAGAGATGAGGTACATCCTCACTGTTACTTTCGTCGTTAGCAACTTCACATTTAGATTCTGCAGCAAAATCTTCATTGCATGTGAGATTATTTCCAAGATTAAGTTCTGACTCGGTAAAACCATTGTCACCACTTCCATCTGATTCACTATCGTATCTTTGGCGTTCACCCAAGTCAGGAAATTCAAATCCAACAAGATCATCCTTGCATAGTGTAATATTTGTAGAGTTCACCAGGCAGACACCCTTCGCACATGCGTAAGAATTTGCATATCTAACAACCAGCTTCTCACTAATGCCTCCAAATGAACAACAGCAAGCCCCAAACCAGTTATCAGCCACCTCTCGCCAATTGACTGAAGGCATTTCCACAAACTGGCTACATTCATAAATAAAGGTTGAAATATCACAAAGAAACAAGAAAGAGACTTTCAATGGTTAGTTAAGTACAATTTAATGAGCTCAAACAAGAAAACAAAGTCTTACCTCAGGGGACTTGCAGTCAACTTAAACGAGCAATTTCTGCAGTAAAAGTGAACTCCAGACGATGATAGACTCTTGACCTCTGAAACCAACCAACCAACCAAGCGTTACATAAAAGAAGTAATTATTTGTTTACAAAAATCACACGAAAAGAAAACAAACAATCCTGATTAAAAAAACAGAGGTACATCATTATGCAGAACCCAAAATAAAGGGCATTAACATAACAAAATGTGCACAATTTTCCACATGATAATTCACGCCCTTACAACAATATCCCAGAAAACTAATGTATTGATCAACAATTACCAACATTGGCCAACTCATTAATCATCGAAAAGGAAAAGTCCACAACTTTAATACAACTTTGCTCAATCACTCCACAAAAACACAAAAAATTGTAGCCTTTTTTCTCTGTACATCGTTTTCCCTCCTGCAAAGAAAGCAAATTTACCTACACACATTCAAATACAACTTACAAACAAACAAACATTGAACTAGACCAAACACATTAAGCAATAACCCAGAATCAATGTCTTGAGCAAATATTATCAACATTGGACAACTAATTGAAATCTTCGAACAGACGACAACTTTAATAAGGAATCAAACCATAAAAACACAAAAAAAAGCTAGTCTTTTTATTTTACACATCAATTTTTCCTACTGCAAAGAAAACAAATTTAGCTAATACAACAAACATTGAACAAAACCAAACGTATTAAGCAAAAAATCCAACTCACCAGAAGCCAACGAAAGTGGCTTCAATTCGCCCTCCAACGCTTTCTCCTCCCCTCCATCCAAACTGAGTAAAGAATCGAAGCTCAAAACAATAGGGTGATCAACAGGGAGGAGGAGGACGAGCTTGACTTCAATGTGATCGTCTAGGGCACTGAAGCTCACCGGACAGTCAGCGTCCACCAAAACCCTAGGCATTGGAACCCTAAGCGAGACCTCCTGAGCTTCCTCGGCCCAGCTCACCAGGACCAGAGACTCTGAGGGGGTTATGTGGACGGTGAGCTTCCGGCATTGAGTCGAGGGTTTTGTGCAGGAATCAAATAGGAATAGGCGGAGGATTGGGATGTGAGATTGGGCCTCCCATGTGAACCGCCATTTTCTCGGATTTCCAGCGGTTTGAAGCTCCATGGACATTCTTTTACTGCGGCCAGCTCCAACGAATACAATGGGAATTTTTTAAAATGGGTCTACAACCCCCAATTATTAGGGCTTTTCTTTCACCAAAAAATATTGTAGGGAATTTTTCTTTTTTTTTTTTAATTTTTTTTTTTGGTCAAAGTATATTCATTACTAAGTTACTAACACAACAACTAGGGGTGGTTCGGTATGGGATACCGAACCGAAAGTAGTATCCCGAATCCCAAACCGAAATCTTTTGGGACGGGAATTTGAAGACCAATCCCAAACCAAAATTTCGGGAATCCCAAATTTCGGGAATCCCGAAATATTTTCGGGATTTCGGGACAAATCGGGAATCCCAAATTAAAATATGAAATTATGAATTATTCTTCAAATATATAATTTAAGAACACATTCATGAACTAGGAATGTCATTTCATTCACACTACCATTTAATCAAATATTGGCATGCTTGATTGTTTTATCAGAGTCAAAATTCAAATTAATTAAACCCTTTTGACAATCTGTTAAGAGACAAAAGAATCAAACCTTCTGAAATCATTAGCCATGATAGCAGCAATAATAAAATCCAAATGAATATCAAACAGAACATGAAAAATATGCAAGGTGTAAGGCATTCCAGGTTGCAGAGCATGAATTAGAAACTACTAGCATCAATTATAAAAGAATAATATATAATATATATATGTATAAATTAATAATATATAATTCGGTTTGGTATGGGATTCCCGAAATATTGAGAAGCCAATCCCAAATCCCATACCAAAATTTCGGGATTGGTTCGGGATAGCATCCCGAAAATTTCGGAAATTTCGGTTTGGGAAATTTTTGGTTTGGGATCGGGATTTTTTCGGTTCGGTTTGGGATTTTCGGGAATTTTTTCCACCCCTAACAACAACTACACATAATAGGAGGTTCAATTACAAGTCAAGCTCAAAATAAGAAATGAGCCCTCCGAGCAAAACATAGCCCAAACAAAACAACAAAAATCAAAACAACTAGAAAAAGCCTGCACCACATTGTCATAGACCGGAATCCTCCATCGTGCACCACCATCCCCAGAACATACCAGAGATCTAGCCAACCAATGCCCCATAAGTGGTGGAAATGTAATGAGGATCTTCTCCGGATCTTCTTTGTGAGAATCTCGAGGATCCTCTAATCACATATGTTCATCATACATCGTGCAGCCAATTTTCGTCAAGTACTGTTTATATTCAATTTTAAATAAAAAAATTTACAATGCTTTCTAACCGCACGATATACGATGAACTGTCATGATTAGAGGATTTCCAAGATCCTCACAAAGAGGATCTGAAGAAGATCCTCATTCGTGGAAAAGAAAACTCCAACCTTCCTGTATCAAACACTAAATAGATCTGAGCCACAAATTGATAAAAACCAGCGTGAAAGAGATCCCACCAGTAGCAATGCCAATAACGCATACACATGGAAGGTGGTGGTGTTTCCACCGAAGCCGGAGCTATACGCACCTTCTGAGAGGTTCACGACAAGTCGCGTGAAGAAAAATGGACTGCAAATCTGAAATTGAGTGAGAT